ATGCCTGCTGGCACACCTCTCTCTGGCCTCTCAGCCTCTGCCCTGCTGGGGCATGTGTTACAAAGCTCTTTTGCTCTGCTAATAAGTGCCCGGAGGCAACCCACTCTGCCAGTAAGCCTGCCACACCATCTCCTGCCAGTCTCTAGTGTGGTCATTTCTCTGCCACTGCTTCTCACTGTCTTCACTGTTATAGCTCTCTCTCTCGGTCTCCTGGTTCCAGGAGCTTCTCAGTGCAAGGATCCTGGGTACAAATTACATGCTCCTCTCCTGGCTCTTCTTTCTTGGTGGTGATGAAATCCTCTCTTCCTGCCTCTGAGATGTCTCATTTTAAGCTTAGCAGGATGACAAAACTGACCAGTCCCCTTGGTGGGCCACAATTATGTTATGTGCACTGTCCTACCCAATCATTTGGGTGGGCGTTTCAAACCATGGCAGGAAAGGCTACACAAAAGTGATCCATTGCACTGCAGGTTCTGAGAAGTAGCGGTGCTGCTTTAACAAATACCTACAATGTGGATGTAGCTTTGGAATTGGGTAATGAGTAGAGGCTGGAAAAGTTTGTTTTTTTTTTTTTTTTTTTTTTTAATATAACACTTTATTGCTTTTTCAGGGAAGGTTTACACAGCAGTTTAGGTTCCCATTCAACAGTTTCTACACAGATTGTTCAGTGACATTGGTTACATTCTTCACAATTTGTGAACATGCTCAATATTTCTGTTCTGGTTGTTCCCTTTCCATTAATCTTGTTTCCCTGACCCCTTACATTCTTACCTTTGTTTTAAAATAATTGTTGACTGTATGGGCCACAGGCTGGAAAAGTTTTAAGGTGCCTAATAGAAAAAGCCTAGATTGCCTTGAAGAGACTGTTGGTAAAATTATGGATGTCAAAGATAATTCTGGCAAGGGCTCAGAAAGAAGGTAGGAGAGCTACACAGAGCATCTCTATCGTTTTAGAAAATACATATGGTGCAAGCAAAAGAACGTTGCTTGAAATTTGGACATTAAGTGTGCTTCTGGTGAGGTTTTAAAAGAAAATGATAAATGTGATTGGACATTGGAGGAAGGGTGATGCTTTTCATGCAGTGGCAAAGAACTTGTCTGAATTATGTTCAAATATTTTGTAGAAGGTAGAACTTGTAAGTGATGAACTTGGATATCTGGCTGATGAGATTTCTAAGTAAGATCTTAAAGGGGCCTTATGGTTCCTCCTTGCAACTTACAGTAAAATATGAGAGGAAAGAGGTGGACTTAAAAGTGAACGTGCAAAATGAAAACAGAACTTAAAAGATTTGGAAAATTCTGTTGTACAAACTAAGGACACATATCATAGAATGTTCACCAAGGATGTGGCTATGCAATCTTTTGTTAAAGAGATTATGCCTGTGCCTGATGGTTCTAACGGGCTACCACAGCAGAAAGCCCATAGCTTAGACTGAAGGGGATAGAGAAAGAACAAAAGGAAGTAATGCTGTCTGCCTGTTGGAATTCTATAGGCAGGAAACAGGCCAACGGAGCTACTTCTATTGTCCTCAAAAAATCCCTGGAGGAGCTCTGGGATCAGCAGAACTGTTGGAAGGAGTACAGGAAGCAGGGTCTTCTCGGTTTCTAAGGGTGTGGCCATGCTCTCCTGATCGCAGAGGGTTGGGGCACAGCCTCCTAGGTTTCAAAGGGTTGGGTCTTTGTGACCTTCGTTCTAGAGTGTGGGTTGTCTTTAAGCTGTGCCGGGGCATGGGGCTGCCCCCCAAAGCTGAGGGGTCAGGACTGCCATTCCCAAGGGGCAGAAGAATGGGGCCTGCCGGGACCGAGGGGGTGGGGTCGCCTCTCAGATGGTCTAGGAGATTGGGGCCACCCAAAGGCAAGGGAGCATAGTTGCCATTCCAGTGGGCCTGAAAGGCAGAGCTAAAGCCCAGGGATGAGGAGCCTCCACCCAGAATCCAGAGGGTGTGGCCAGCATCCAGAGTCTGGAGGATGGAGCCATTTCCCAGATGGTCCCCAAACTGACCGTTCATTATTTATCCTCTGGCAAGGTGAGCCATATCCCAGTTTATTAGAAAGTCATGTGTGTGCAGTTCCCATTGGTAGTTTTAGGAATGGCATGCAGATGAGCTTAGGAATTTGGAGTAATTCTACCGAAGTATGTATGTAAAAGCCCTTGACTGCTAGAAAGCATGGATTTCATCTGAGTTATTTCTCTGATTAATTCTTCACGTTCTTTATGTATGCCACTTCTCTTTCTCTTTTAGTCAGTTTCATTAAGAATGTGTATTTTATTGGTCTTAATCAAAGAACAAATTTTTGGTGTATTGGGGCTTTTCATTTTGCTTTTGATATTTTTGGGCTCTTCCATTCCTTTAATTTTTCTAAATTTATCTTCTTTTCAAAAATGTACAATTTAACTAGTATAAAGGCAATATATGTATAACTGATCTCTGCCTCAGGCAAGAAATAGAACTTTGCTAGCATCCAAGTGGTTATAGCAAGCATTTCCAGACATTTCTTTATAGTTTTACCATGTAGCTAATTATTCCTAATCATTATAATTTATCTAGTTTTGCCTATTTTAAACTGAGTATAAATGCAATCGTATATAACCCCCTTTTTTTTTTTAAATCAGGATTGGTTTCCTCAATATTTGTGAGAGTCATTCATGTTGTTACACATAGATGTATCTACTTTGCTCTTGTAAAAAATGGTGTGGCTGAGGTATCTGGCCTCCTCTAACTTCACAATGGGGAAGGAGAATCTAGATCAATAGCCCAAGGTTGATTCCTATGAGGTGGAGGTCAGACATACCTCTCTCCAACCTTTTTACCAATTCTGTTGCTATCCGTACCTCCCAAAGCACTGTCTTCTCTGCTGAGTTGGATAATTCAGTGCAAGGCCCATACAAACTCACAAACCATACTCACAGTTATGGAGTTTATTAGGCAAGTAAAAGATTACAATTCAGGAACTCAGGATACAGTTCTTTGATCAGGGCAGCCTCTTCATAGCCATGACTGCAGGCAGGCCCTTGGTCCTTGGCCTGGCCTCTTCCCTGCTTCAGCAAGTATTACAGAGTTCTTTAGCTCTGCCAATAAGTGCCCAGAGGCACCCTATGCCTCCAGTAAGCCTAGGCCCAAAGGCACCCAGTTCTCTCACTCCATGGGTCGGCTAACATAGCTCCACCAAGTGCCCAGAGGCACCCCACTCCACCAGTAAGCCTCTCACTGAAAGATGCTCACCTCTTTTGTTCCATGGGTTGGCACACCTACCGTAGCTGCCTTACTCTGTCAGCTGGGAATCCCAATGCGCCGTTTCTCGCCTATCTCCAAGTTCTGCTGCCACTGTTTCCCTGCCTCCACTTCTCGCCATCTCATGCCATCTGTGCTGTTACGGCTCTCTCTCTGTCTCCTGGGTCTAGAAGGTTCTCAGTGCAGGGACCCCTGGTCCAAAGGACATGCTTCGCTCCTGTTTCTTCTTCCTTGGTGGTAGTTAGGTCACCCCGTCTGCTCTGGTACTGTCTCTTTTAAGCCTAGCTGATGGGAAAAGTAACCAATCCTTTGTTAGGGTTCCATATGCCCTATTTGCATGGTCCCACCCACACATGGGTGCCTTGCACCTTATTTGCATTATTAGCAAACTGTCCAATCCCATTGGTGGGCTGTAAGCACCTTATTTGCTTATTTGATTGTCTGATTCAGGATGGCCAGTACCTGTCCATTTGAGCTCACTGATGCTTAGAATATCAATGTTTATGTGTTCCATTCCATTTCTGATGATTTCCAATTTTCCTAGATTCATACTTTGTACATTCCACGTTCTGATAATGACTGTTTGCAACTGTGTTTTCTCGTTTTGAGTCATGCCACATCAACAAATGATGGTCCTGAAAGCTTGACTTCATCCACGTCATTAAAGTCAACTCTAGTTTGAGGAGGCAGCTCTTTTCCAGTCGTATTTTGAGTGCTTCCAACCTGTGGGGCTCATCTTCCAGCACTATGTCAGACAGTGTTCTACTGCTTCTCATAAGATTTTCACTGACTAATTTTTTTCAGAAGTAGACTGCCAGGTCCTTCTTTCTAGTCTGTCTTAGTCTGGAAGCTCAGCTGAATCCTGTCCGCCACAGTATGACAAACTGACAGACGCGTGGGGTTATTTGCATAGTACCACTCAGTCATTTGGTGGGAGTTACAAGACCATTGCTACAAAGGTCATATAAAAGCAATCCATTGCACCACCTTGGGTTACTACAAATAATTCTGCTTTGAAAATATTGGTACAGGTCTTGTGGTTCAAATGTGCACTCATTATAGGGGGATATATACCTCAGACTTAGCTTGTTATTTCAGACTGTATGTATAATTTTAATCTGCTAGATTGTGCCTTAGTGTTTTCTAAAGTGGTTGTACAACTTTACTATTTCTCTAACAGAATAGTCTTCAGTTGATAGTCAGTGCTTTATGTGCCATGTTTAAAATACGTTTCCAGACCCTAATGTAAACTTATCTTCTCAAAGCTTCATTGATTTGTCATTGAGAGTCACACTTGACCATGAATTGATAGTTTTGCGTGTCATGAGGTAGGGATCAAGCTTATTCTTCTTCTTTCACATGTATATCTGATTGTCTAATAGCAATTTTTTGAAAAGACATCTTTTACCCATATCTCTGCAAATTTTGAATCTTAGGTATTTGTGCGCATGGGTGTAAAATATTCTGTGGCTCCAAATAAAGGGACAGTCAATGGTATTGAGGGCCTTTTGTTAAGCAACGTGCCAGGAGCAGTGACAACATCTGGACCTAGAGATAATGTACCACTCACATTGAATTTTCCCTTCAGCCTACAGGTCCTGACTCCCCAGCAGCAAGAGAATCACTTGAAGGAAGGAGGAAGAGGTTGCAAGATTTAGATACTGTCATTCTGGGGACACCCTTCACAGGAAACTGAAATTTCTAAACAGAAATTAGAGCTGATCCACCAAACACAAAGACAGAGCATCCCAGATGCTGGCAGTGTCCCAAGAAAAAAAGAAAATGGTCAAGGCCCAGGTGACTTTTGGTTTGTTTTATGCTTTCGTTTCTTTCCTAATGAGTTTGTAGAGGCCTGTAAAATATCAGTTCAGTTCATCTGAAAAGTATAAATTTGGAAAAGTAGAAGCTACAGAGAAATAAACTTAGACTCTGACCAACATCAGGCAAAGGAGGGTCAGAAATATATTGTTCTTGGGATTAACACTAAATTATTGATGTTGATCATAATATGTGACTGGGAATTCTTTGGCTACATTAGCTTTCAACTTGCATGTACTATATCTCTGGCCAACTCCAAAAGAATCATTGTAATTTAAATGTTATGTCCAGTTTTTGAGGAGACAGAAGTTCAGTTCCTTGGAGGATTTCAGTATTTCATGGGAGTTTTGTCTGAGTAAGTTTCTTTGATGTTTCTTCCTAGAGGTGATGTGGTGGACAGTATTCTCAACAGCAGCATTCTTATAGATGCATGTAAAATGAGACTAGTAGTAATAGTAGTATGAAAAGGCAGGCGGCTTCTGACTTCCTCTAACTTCAGGGGTAGAAGAGAGAATCACTATCAATATCAACACAAAGCTGATTCCTGTGAGGTGGAGGTCAAACATACATGCACCCTCCAAACTTTCTACCAATTCTGACACCAGCCATCCCTCCCACGGGACTCTCTGTTTCTCTGCTGGGTTCGATAATCGGTTGCAGTGGCCACACAGAACTCACAGACTGTACTCACAGTTGTGGGATTTATTAAGGAAGTAACAGGTTATACATAAGAATGGAATTTCAGAACACCTAATTATGCTCATGAGGAACTTGTACATAGACCAAAAGGCAGTCGTTAGAACAGAACAAGGGATTTGTTATGGATTGAATTGTGTTCCCCCAAAATGTGTGTCAGCTTGGCTAGGCCATGATTCCCAGTGTTGTGTGGTTGTCCTCCAATTTGTCCAATTTGTGATCTGATGTGATTTTCCTATGTATTTTAAATCCTGCCTCTTATGATGTTAATGAGGCAGGATTAGAGACAGTTATGTTAATGAGGCAGGACTCAGTCTATAAGATTAGATTGTGTCTTGAATCAATCTTTTTTGAGATATAAAAGGTAGAAGCAAGCAGAGAGACGGGGGACCTCATGCCACCAAGAATGAAGAACCAGGAGGGGAGTGCGTCCTTTGCACCTGAGGTCCCTGCACTGAGAAGATACTAGACCAGGGGAAGATTGATGACAAGGACCTTCCACCAGAGCTGACAGAGAGAGAAAGCCTTTGCCTGGAGCTGGCACCCTGAATTTGGACTTCTAACCTCCTAGACTGTGAGAGAATAAATTTCTCTTTGTTAAAGCCATCTGTTTGTGGTGTTTCTGTTACAGCGGCCATAAATAAGTAAAACAGGGATACTGTGTAGTTTAAAGTCAAGAAAGGTGTATGTCAGAGTTGTATCCTTTTACCATACTTATTCAATCTGTATGCCAAACAGATAATCCAAGAAGCTGGACTATATGAAGAATGCAGCATCAGGATTGGAGGAAGACTTATTAACACCCTGTAATATACAGATGACACTACTTTGCTTTCTGAAAGCAAAGAGGACTTGAAGCACTTACTGATGATGATCAAAGACTACAGCGTTTAGTATGGATATCACCTCAACGTAAGGAAAACAAAAATCTTCACAACTGGACCAATAAGCAACATCGTGATAAATCGAGAAAATATCGAAGTTGTCAAGGATTTCATTTTACTTGAATGCACAATCAACGCCTATGAAAACAGCAGCCAAGAAATCATTGGGCACATGTGCTGCAAAAGACCTTTCTACAGTGTTAAAAAGCTAATATGTCACTTTAGGACTAAGGTGACCCAACAAACCAAAACCAAACCTCTTGCCATCAGTTGATTCTGATTCATCTCAACCCTATAGGACAGAGTAGAACTGCCCCATAGCATTAAGGTGAACCAAGCCATGATATTTGCAGTCACCTCGTATGTATGCGAAAGCTGGAAAATGAATACGGAAGACTGAAGAATTGATGTCTTTGTCGTATGGTATTGGTGAAGAATATTAAATATACCATGGGCTGCCAGAAGAACGAACAAATATGTCTTGGAAGAAATACAACCAGAATGCTTCTTAGAAGGAAGGATGGTGAGACTTCGTCTCACATAATTTGGATATGTTACCAGGAGGGACCAGTCCCTAGGGAAGGGCATCATGCTTGGTAAAGTAGAGGGTCAGCAAAAAAGAGAAAGACCCTCAACGAGTTGAACTGATGCAGTGGCTGCAACAATGGGCTCAAGAATAACAAAGATTGTGAGGGTGGCACAGGACCGGACAGCGTTTTGTTCAGTTGTACATAGGGTCGCTATGAGTCGGAACTCAGTCAATGGCACCTAACAACAATAACAGCAGGTTACAGCTCAGGATCAGAAACAAAAGACTACAACTTGGGATCAGGATACGGAAGCATATAGGCAATGTCTTCCTTCTTCGGGTCAGTACAGCTCTCTGTCTTCTCTCAGCTCCCGCAGGACAGGCTCCTCTCAGACCCCTCAGGACAGGCTCCTTCTTTCAGCCCTCAGCCTGGTCTCTGCCCCGGTTGGTCAAATGTTGCAAAGTTCTTTAGCTCTGCCAGAAATTCCCTGGAGGAACCCCATTCCACTAGTAAGCCTCCTTTCTGAAGGTGCTCGGCCCTCTTGCTTCGTGGGTTGGCACACCTACGTTAGCCACTGGTTGGCATGCCTACTGTAGCCACATCGCTCCATAGGCCAGCAAGCCTGCCGTGCCTTCCTGTGCCAGTCTCCTGGTTCTGCTGCTGCCGTTTCTCTGCTGCTGGACTCTGCTGTGCTTGCCATTGCTTCTTGCTGTCTCACACCTTTTCTGGTGTTACAGTTCTCTGTCTTCTGGGTCTAGATGGTTCTCAGAGCAGGACCCCTGTTTAAGAGGACACACTCTGCTCTTGGCTCTTCTTGTTGGAAGTGAGCTCCCCTCTTTCACTTCTGAGATGGGCTCATTTTAAGCCTACTGGGATGGCAAAACTGACTAATCCACTTGTTAGGGTTCCATACGCCTTATTTGCATGGTACCACCCCCACAAGGATTTTATGTACCTTATTTACATTATTAGCAGGCTGTCTAGTCCCCTTGATGGGCCACAAGCACCTTATTTGCAAAATCCCACCCAGTCATTTCATAGGAGTCACAAAGACTTTCACTTAACCAAAAGTAGTAACATCAGAACCTGTTTAACTTCTGGGGGGATGATGACCAGGATCAGCCCCAAAGCTAATCCCTACGAGGTGAATGTCAAACATACCTCCACTCTCCAACCTTTTTGCCAATTTTGACAGTAGCCGTCCCTCCAGTGGCACTCTCTACTTCTCTTCTGGCTTTGATAATTTGTTACAGTGGCCACACAGAGCTCACAGACCATAATTACATTTAAATGGTTTATTAAGCAACAGGGTATAACTTGGGATCAGGATCAGGAAAAACCTGGGCGAAGTCTCCCTTCTTCAATGCAGGACAGCTCTCAGCTTCTCTTGGCCCTGCTGGCCTCCTCTCAACCCTTTCAAGACAGGATAGGCTCCTCTTGGCCCTGCCATCTGTTGCCACTGACTGTCCCGCAGGGTCTCTTCTGGGCCTGTCACTGCTGCTCTGCCCCTTCTTGGCAGGTTTCCTATGGCTATTTCATCCAGGGTCCCACATAGACTCCTGTAGCAATAGAGCAACCAAACTTTGAGTAGTCACAGGAGATGGACTGTACTCTTATGTGAGGGTAACTTCACCCAAATGATTGGGTGGGACTGTGCAAATAAGATAATTTGTGGCCCACCATGGGGATAGGTCAGTTTTGTCATCCCACTACGCTTACAGTGAGCATCCCAGAGGAGGGAAAAAGAGGATCTCACCACCACCAAGGAAGAGGAACCAAGAGCGGAGCATGTCCTTTGGACCCGGGATCCCTGCACTGAGAAGCTCCTGGAACCAGCAGACAGAGAGCTGTAACACTGAAGATGGCAAGAAGCAGCAGCAGGAGGGACCAGCAGGAGACAGTGTGGTGGGCTTCCTGGCCCACAGAGTGAGAAAGCTGAGTACCTTTGGGCAGGAAGCTTGCTGACAGAGTAGGGTTCCTCAGGGCACTTGGTGGAGCTAGATTTGCCAGCCCACGGAGCTAGAGCTGAATGCCTTCGGGCTGAGGCTTACTAGTGAAGTGGGGTGCCTCAGGATACTTACCAGCAGAGCTGACAGAGTTTTGTAACAGTTACCCAAGCAGGGCAGAGGACTAGGGCCAGAGAGAGGTATGCCTGCAGGCACAGCTGAAGAGAGGTTGTCCTGATGGAAGAACTATATCCTGAGTGTTCCTGAACCTGAATTGTATCCTGTTACTTCCCTAATAAACTCCATAATGGTGAGCATTGTCTGTGAGTTCTGTTGGGCCATCGCGATGAATTGTTGAACCAGCAGAGAAGTAGAGAGTGCCGTGGAAGTGACAGATGGTGTCAGAATTGGTGAAGATGGTGGAGAGGTAAGGCATGTCTGACCTTCGTCTCATAGGCATCTGCCTTGGGTTGTTGATCTTGATTCTCTTTCCCCCTTGTGAAGTTAGAGGTGGTCAGATGCTGCCCCCATACCATTTGTACACATGTGGACCTCCCCGACATGGAAACTTGCTTCATCAATACCAGACAGACAGAAATAACACCTAATACGTAATCTTATCACAGAATAACTTTGTTTCACCTTAGCACATTCTATTAGGTAGGAGGAACTAGTCCAGCCCATAGTCATGCAGAGGGGACAATCCAAAGGTCCAAATATGATGTTAGGGCTATCTTAGAATCTGCCTGCCACAAGTCTTTCTTTCAGTAAACAATTATTTTTGGGTGCAGTGTGAGATCTTTGGCTATTTCTTCTCCCCTCTCTTTCAGAAGTTATGAATAGGCATATGTTAATGTATAATAACTTAAAATATAAGAATCAGGACAGAGCCAATTCCTATGAGGTAGAGGACAGTATATCCCAGATTTCCACATTCTGCAAGCTACTGAACCACTCCTATCTCTGACACGGGCTATTCATACTCCCCTCAGTACTCTTTCCTCCTTCATTTTGGTTTGGCAATTTGCTGCAGTATCTCACAGAAATTACAGACTGTACTTACACTTAAGTGGTTTATTAAGGAAGTAACAGGGTACAACTTAGGATCAGGATCAGGATCAAAAGCCTACAACTCGGGATCAGAATCAAGGAGCACACAGGCAAAGTCTGCCTTCTCCTGTGTAAGACAGCTCTCTTAGCTCCTCTTGGCCGTGCAAACAGGCCCTTTTCTCTGCGTGCACACCCCCTCTCAGCTCTTAAGCCTCCTCTCAGTTCTCTCAGGACAGGCTCCTGTCAGCCCCCTCAGAACAGTCTACTCTCAACCCCCTCAGAACAGGCTCCTGTTGGCCCTGCTGTCTGTCACCACTGACTCCGCCACTGGACTCCTTCCAGGCCTATCGCTGCCGGCTCTGCCGCTGCGCCCCTTCTGGGCCTGTCACCACTGGCACTGCCAAATGGCCTCTCCGAGCCTCTCGCTATCTTCTGTGTTATAGCCGTTGGTCCATGTTACAGCGCTTTTAGGCGGTTCCTTGCCTCTTCTCTCTCTACTTCTTCTCGCCTTTTTTCTTTCTGCTGCTTCCTGCTTCATGTCTGAAAAACCTGTGGCATTGACTGCATATATACACAAACTCCTTGTCAGTTTCAAGGCATGACCTTCCTCGCAGGACCAATCCACTCTCTGTAGGCCATAGACAGTTAATTTGCATAGTAGACTATAGTCACTTCATTTGCATAGTATATTGACGAATCACTGCAATGTGCATACCAATTACAGGACAGGCTGCAGCCCAGGAGCAGACTAAAAGTTTCAAACTGTGGTGTTTACCACTTACCCAGGAAATGTAACAAACTCTCTGGGTTAGAAAACTAGGGCAAAGGTAAATCCTTGGTGCTTAGGGGAAAAATCTCAAACTTTTTTTTCAAAGAACCAAGGCAAAAGGCCACATAAAGGAACTCATTTCACCACAGGTAGACATTGTTGCTCATCCATGTTAACTAACCTCTCCTTTATTTTTTCTGTTTCTCTCTTTGCTACATTTTGGGTAATTTCATTTGTATATCACGGTTGACTAATTATCTCTTTAGTGTATTTGATATGTCTGATGAAGTGAGTTCCTTTATGTGGCTTATTGCCTTGATTCTTTGGAAAAACAGCTTGAGCGATTTTTCCCCTAAGCCCTGAGTAGTTACTTTTGCCTCTGTTTTGTATCCCTAGAGAGTTTGTTACTTTTGTCCAGGTTGGTTGACATTTCGTGAGTAAGTTGTAGTCAATTTGGTTTGTGCAGTATAGTGAATTACTTAATATGGCCCTTCTAGCCATAGTCTTTGTAATTCCCAATAAATGACTAGGTGGGACTATGTAAATGAGGTACTTGTGGCCCATTAAGGGGATTGGATAGTTTGCTAACGTAAATAAGTTGCATGGCACACTTGTTGGCGTGGGACCATGCAAATAAGGTATATGGAACTCTAATGAGGGGACTGGTGAGTTATGCCATCCTGCTAGGCTTAAAAGAGAGCCAGTAATAGAGGAGAGGTGGAAAACCTCACGGCTATTAAGAGAGAAGAGCAGGGAGTGGAGTGCATTCCTTTGGACCCAAGATCTCTGTGCTGAGAAGCTCCTGGAACCAGGAGACTGAGAGAGAGAACTGTAACAACAAAGATGGTGAAAATTGGCTGCAGAGAAACAGTGGCAGTAGAGGCAGCAGAAACAGGAGACCAGCAGGAGACGGTACGGTGGGTGGGCTGACCCACAGAGTAAAAGAACTGAGTGTCTTCGAGCAGGAGGCTTGCTGACAGAGTAGGGTATCTCCAGACACTTGGCGGAGCCAGGTTTGCCAACCCATGGAGCAAGAGAGCTGAGAGCCTTCAGGCCAGGGTTTACTAGCAGAGTGGGATGCCTCTGGGCACTAATTAGCTTAGCTCAAAGAGCTTTGTAACACTTACCCGAGGAGAGCAGAGGCCTGCCTGAGGGGCCAAGAGATCAAGGCCCAGGTAGAGGCCTGCCTGTGGCATGACTGAGAAGAAGCTGCCCAGATCAAAGAACTTTATCCTGAGCATTCCTAAACCTGAGTTGTAACGTGATACTTCCCTAATAACCATATATCTGTGAGTAGGGTCTGTGAGTTCTGCGTGGCCATTGCAATGAATTATCGAACCCAGCAGAGATGTGAAGAGTGTCATGGGAGGGATGGTTGGTGTTGGAATTGATAAAATGGTTAGAGACGAGGTATGTCTGACCTCTGCCATATAGCAATCAGCCTTGGGTCACTGATGCTGATAATGATTCTCTCGACCCCTCCTAAAGTTAGAGGAGGTCAGATGCCTCCACCACACCACCATTTTTATAGTTTGATACTTCCCGCCAGGTCCTAGGTTGCAGCCTATGCTGAGAAGTTACTTTTGCCCTAGTTTTCTACCCTAGAAGTTTTGTTATTTTCGTCCAGGTTGGTTGACATTTCCTAGGTAAGTTGTAACCAACTTGCTTTGATACATTCTGCCTGGCTGCAGCCTGCTCTGTGATTGGTATGCACCTTGCAGAGATTGTTCGAGGGACTATGCAAATGAGGTGAATTGTTGCCCAGCCATGCCTACTACGCAAGTGAAGTGTCTGAGGCCTACCAAGAGGAGATTTGTCAGTTTTATAGCCATGTCTTGAAATTAACAAGGAGTTTGTAGTTATAAGCAGCTAGCCCCACAGAGATTTGTCAGAACTAAGAAAAGCAGAAGGAAGAAAGGGGAAAGAAGAGGCAGAGAGAGAGTGGAGGCAAGGAGCCTACTAAAAGAGCTGTAACACTAGTCAAGGGCTGTAACACTGAAGACAGAGGCCTAGAAGAAGCCCTGTGGCAGAGCCAGAGGCAGCAGGCCTAGAAAGGGCCCAGGGGCAGAGCCAGTGGTGACAGGCCCAGATGAGGCCCAGGGGCAGAGCCGGTGGTAACAGGCCCGGAAGAGACCCAGGGGCACAGCCCGTAGTGACAGATGGCAAGACCAAGAGGAGGCTGCTTTCAGAGGGCCAAGAGGAGCTAAGAGAGCTGTCCTGCACTGAAGAAGGGAGACTCTGCCTACACGCTTCCTGATCCTGATCCTGATCCTGAATTTTAGCCTGTTGATCCTGATCTTGAGTTGTTTCCTGTTCCTTAATAAACCACTGAATTGTAAATATGGTCTGTGAGTTCTATGTGGCCATTGCAATGTATTATCAAACTCAGATCAGAAGTAGACTGCCATGGGAAGGACAGCTGGTGTCAGAATTGGTAAAAAAGATGGAGGGCGGAAGTATGTCTGATCACCTCATAGGGATCCGCCTTGAACTGACCCTGATCATTATGCCCCCTGAAGTTAGTTTCTGACAATGCTATTGATACAGCCACTATTCCTAGTCCCATTTCACAATATGCTGTTGGAAAAAACAGTGTGGAGGTGACATCTGACCATCTCTAACTTTGCGAGGAGGAAGGAGAATCTAGATCAATAGCTCAAGGCTTCTTCCTCCTCTCTCCACCATCTTTACCAATTCTGACACCAACCGTCCCTCTCGCAGCACTCTACTTCTCTGCTGGGTTTGATAATTCATTGCAGTGGCCACACAGAACTCGCAGACAATCCATGCGGTTATGGGGTTTATTAGGAAAGTAACAGGATACAATTCAGGTTCAAGAACGCTCAAGATACAGTTATTCCATCAGGACAGCCTCTTCCCAGCTGTGCTCGCAGGCACACCTCTCTGGCCTTCCGCCTCCGCCCTGCTCAGGCAAGTGTTACAAAGCTCTTTTAGCTCTGCTGATAAGTGCTCCGTGGGTCTACAGTCCTAACTCCACCAAGTTGCCCAGAGGCACCCTACTCTACCAGCAAGCCTCCTGCCCGAAGGCACTCAGCTTTCTTGCTCCACGGGCTGGGAAGCCTACTGTGCCATCTCCTGCTGGTCTCTCCTGCCTGTGTCTCCTGCTGTTTCTCTGCCAGAAGCTTCTCGCTGTCTTCAGTGTTACAACTCTCTCTGCCTCAGGCTTCTGTTTCCAGGAAGCTTCTCAGCACAGGGATCTCGGGTCCAAAGAACATGCTCTGCTCTTGGCCTTTCTTCCTTGGTGGTGGTGAGATCCCCTCCTTTCTGCCTGTGGGGTGGCTTATTTCAAGCCCAGCAGGGTGGCGAAACTGACCATACCTTTGGTGGACCACAATTACCCAATTTGCACAGTCCTACTCATTCATGAGTTGGGGAATTATGGAATGCACAAATTCAGAATAGTTTATTATGATTTTGTTTCTCTATAAGACATTAAAAAAACCACAGGTTGGTAAATACAGCAGCCTATATAGAGGAAATGAACAGAACATCTTTCCCCACATTTCATTCATACAACGAAATGGAAAATACTTTGTTAAACAGGATCCTCTTAATATAGGAATCACTGACATTCAGCGACGTGGCTGTGAAGTTCACCTGGGAGGAGTGGCAGCTCCTGGACCCTGCTCAGAAGGACCTATACTGGGACATGATGTTGGAGAACTATAGCAACCTGGTGTCCGTTGGTGAGGACAACTCTCCTGTCATTGGCTTTTTCCTTTCTCAGCTGCTGAAATCTTTGGAGTGTCTGTGGTGCTCTAAAATGGCAGATGATCAGTCCACTCTCTGGCTCTAGATAAGTGGGTATATTCTTCTGATTCCTAACAGAAAAAGCACTAAATTGTACGTTTGAAAATTGTTTTTTCACAAGTACAACATTCTGCAGTCTTCATAGACCCAAGGCCAATTTGGTGAGTCTAAGATTTTGTGATTTCCCATAAACAGGGTGTCAAGTTAACAAGCCAGATGCACTCTCCAAGTTAGAACGAGGAGAACAACCATGGACTATACTAGACGAAAGTCATAGTGGAATCTTTTCAGGTGAGCAAGGGAAAAGCGGTAAAGGGGGAAGGCTGTGGAAGTCCCATTCAAGTGAAAGGTGTTAAATCTGTGAGGGATTTCTGAGTATACATAAAAATATCTCCGCGTATCCCTCTCCCAGTGTGAGACCTCTTTTTTTATTTTTCCTATGAGTTTTTGTTGTTTGGTGCTGTTGAGTCGGTTTTGACGCATAGCAACCCTATGTACAACAGAACGAAACACTGCCCGGTCCTGCACCATCCTCAAAATTGTTATGCTTGAGCCCATTGTTGGCAGCCTCTGTGTCAGTCCATCTCCTTGAGGGTCTTCCTCTTTTTCACTGACCCTCTACTTTACCAAGCATGGTGTACTTCTCCAGGGACTGGTCCCTCCTCATAACATGTCCAAAGTATGTGACACGAAGTCTCGCCATCCTTGCTTCTAAGAAGCATTCAGGCTGTACTTCTTCAAGACAGATTTGTTCGTTCTTCTGGCAGTCCATGGTGTATTCAATATTCTTTGCCAACATCATAATTTAGAGGCATCAATTCTTTTTTGGTCTTCCTTATTCACTGTGCAGCTTTTACATGCATATGAGGGGATTGAAAATACAAAGGCTTGGGTCAGGCGCACCTTAGTCCTCAAAGTGACATCTTTGCTTCTTAACACTTTAAAGAGGCCTTTTGCAGCAGATTTACCCAATGTAATACATCGTTTGATTTCTTGACTGCTGCTCCATTGATTGTGGATCCAAGTAAAATGAAATCCTCGACAACTTCAATCTTTTCTCCATTTCTCATGATGTTGCTTATTGGTCCACTTGTGAGGATTTTTGTTTTCTTTATGTTAAAGTGTAATCCATACTGAAGGCTCTGGTCTTTGATCTTCATCAGTAAGTGCTTCAAGTCCTCTTCACTTTTGGCAAGCATATCACAGGTTGTTAATGAGTCTTTACGTATCCTGATGCTGTCTTCTTCATATAGTCCAGCTACTCTGATTATTTACTAACTGTACAGGTTGAATGTTGTTATTGTTAGGTGCTGTTGAGTCAGTTTGGACTCACAGAAACCCTATGTACAACAGAACAAAACACTGCCCAGTCCTGCACCATCCTCATGATCGTTGTAATGCTTGATCCCATTGTTGCAGCCACTGTGTCAGTTTTCTTGTTGAGGGTCTTCCTCTTTTGCTCTGATCCTCTACTTTATCAAGCATGATGTCCTTCTCCAGGGACTGGTCTCAGCTGATAATAGCATGTCCAGAGTATGTAAGATGAAGTCTTGCCATCTTCCCTTGTAAGGTGCATTCTGGCTGTACTTCTTCCAAGATAGATTTGTTCATTCTTTTGGCAGTCCGTGGTATATTCAACATTCTTCACCAACACCATAACTCAAAGGCATCAATTCTTCGGTCTTCCTTATTCATTGCCCAGCTTTTGCATGCATATGAGGCGATTGAAAACACCATCGCTTGGGTCAGGTGCACTTTAGTCCTTAAAGTGACATCTTTGCTTTTTAACACTTTAAAGAGGTCTTTTGTAGCAGATTTGTCCAGTGCAGTGCGTCTTTTGATTTCTTGACTGCTGTTTCTATGGGTGTTGATTGTGGATCCAGGTAAAATGAAATTCTTGACAACTTCAATCTTTTCTCCATTTATCATGATGTTCTTTATTGGTCGAGTTGTGAGGATTTTTGTTTCCTTTATGTTGAGGTGTAATCCATACTGAAGGCTGTAGTCTTTGATCTTCATCAGTAAGTGCTTCAAGTCCTCTTCACTGCCAGCAAGCAAGGTTATGTCATCTGTATAATGCAGGTTGTTAATGAGTCTTTCTCCAATCCTGATGCTGTGTTCTTCTTCATACAGTCCAGCTTCTCAGATTATTTGTTCAGCATACAGATTGAATAAGTATGGTGAAAGGATACAACCCTGACGCACACCTTTTCTGACCTTAAACCACAACAGTATCGCCTTGTTCTGTTTGAATGACTGCCTCTTGATCTATGTACAGTTTCCTTGTGCACAATTAAGCATTCCCATTCTTCACAATGTTATCCATAATTTGTTATGATCCACACAGTGGAATGCCTTGGCATAGTCAATAAAACACAGATAACCATTTTTCTAGTACTCTCTGCTTTTATCCAAGATCCATCTGACATCAGCAGTGATATCCCTCATTCCACATCCTCTTCTGAATCCAGCTTGAATTTCTTGCAGTTCACTGTCGATGTACTGCTGCAACCATTTTTGAATGATCTTCAGCAAAATTTTGTGTGTGATATTAATAATACTGTTTGATAGTTTCTGCATTCTGTTGTATCACCTTTCTTTGGAATCAGCACAAATATAGATCTTTTCCAGTTGGTTGCCCAGGTAGCTGTCTTCCAAATTTCTTGGCATAGATGAGTGAGCACTTCCAGCGCTGCATCCATTTGTTGAAACATCCCAGTTGATATTCTGTCAATTCCTGGAGCCTTGTTTTTTCGCCAGTGCCTTCAGTGCAGCTGGGATCTCTTCCTTCAGTATTATCAGTTCCTGATCATATGCTGCCTCCTAAAATGGTTGAATGTTGACCAATTCTTTTTGGTATAGTGACTGTGTGTATTCCTTCCATCTTCTTTTGATGCTTCTTGTGTTGTTTAATATTTTTCCCGTAGAATTCTTCCATATTGCAACTCAAGGCTTGGGTTTTTTCTTCAGTTCTTTCAGCTTGAAAAATGCCGAGCGTGTTCTTCCCTCTTGGTTTTGTAACTCCAGGTGTTTGCACATGTCATTATAATACTTTACTTTGTTTTCTTGAGCCACACTATGAAATCTTCTGTTCACCTCTTTTACTTCATCATTCCTTCCATTCCCTTTAGCTACTCTACGTTCAAGAGCAAGTTTCAGAGTCTCTTCTGACATCCATTTTGGTCTTTTCTTTTCTTCCTGTCTTTTTGATGACCTCTTGCTTTCTTCATGTACGATGTCCTTGATGTCTTGCCACAACTCATCTGGTCTCCGGTCATTAGTGTTCAACGCGTCAAATCTGTTCTTGAGATGCTCTCTAAATTCAGGTGAGATATATTCAAGGTCGCACTTTGGCTCTCATGGACTTGTTCTAATTTTATTCAGCTTCAGCTTGCGCTTGCATATGAGCAGTTGATGGCTCTGTTCCGCAGTTGGCCTCTGGCCTTGCTCTGACTGATAATATTGAGCTCTTCCATCACCTCTTTCCAAAGATGTAGTCAGTTTGATTTCCTGTGTAGTCCATCTGGTGAGGTCCACGTGTATAGTTGGCATTTATGTTGGTGAAAAAAGGTATTTGCGATGAAGAAGTTGTTGGTCTAGCAAAATTCTATCATGCGATCTCCAGCATCGTTTCTATTACCAAGGCCATATTTTCCAACTACTGATCCTTCTTTGATTCCAACTTTCCCATTCCAATCACCAGTAATTATCAAATCATTCTGATTGCACGTTCGATCAATTTCAGAGTGCAGAAGTTGGTAAGAATCTTCAATTTCTTCATCTTTGGCCTTAGTGGTTGGTGTGTAAATTTGAATAATAGTCATATTAACTGGTCTTCTTTGTAGGCATGTGGATAGTATCCTATCACTGACAGCATTATACTTCAGGATAGACCTTGAATGTTCTTTTTGACTCTGAATGCAACACCATTCATCTTCAAGTTGTCATTCCCGGCATAGTAGACCATACTATTTTCTGATTCAGAATGGCCAATACCACTCCATTTCAGCTCATTAATGCCTAGGATATCAATGTTTATGTGTTCCATTTCATTTTGGATGATTTCCAATTTTCCTAGATTCATACCTTGTATATTCCATGTTCCAATTATTAATGGATGTTTGCAGCTGTTTCTTCTTATTTTGAGTCTTGACACATCAGCAAATGAAGATCCTGAAAGTTTGACTTCATCCACATTATTACGGTCGACTCTACTTTGAGGATGCAGCCCTTCCCCAGTCCTATTTTGAGTACCTTCCAGCCTGAGGGGCTCATCTTCTGGCATTATATCAGACAGTGTTCTGCTGCTGTTCATAAGGTTTTCACTGGCTAATTCTTTTCAGCAGTAGACCTCAGGTCCTTCTTCCTAGTCTGTCTTAATCTGGAAGCTCAGCTGAAACCTGTCTGCCATGGGTGACCCTGCTGGTATTTGAATAGTGGTGACATAGCTTCCAGCATTACAGCAACACACAAGCCCCCACTATACAACAAACTGACAGAAACGTAGGGTAGACTGTGGCTAGAAAAGCCATATTAAGTAATTCACTGCACCACGTAACAGGTACAACATGGGATAAAGATCAATTTGGTGGTAACAGGATACAACTCATGAGACACAGTAAAGTTCTTCAACCAGGACAGCTTCCAACCAAGATGGCTCTCAGCTCCTTCTCTCACAGTGCTTGAAGGCAGGCAGCCGTTCTCTTGGCTGTGTCCACTACCGGGCTTCGCTGGGCCCCTGCCCTGCTCAGCAAGTGTTAATAGCTTGGCTCCACAGACAAGTAGTCGGAGTCACCCCACTCCACCAGCAAGCCTTCTGCCCTGAGGTGCTTAAATCTCTGTCTCGTCCACTGCTGCTGTTTTGCACCATCTCCCACCGACTTCGGTGTTACAGCTCTTGACCTGTATTACAGCTTTTTTAGGAGTTCCCTTCCTCTCTATGTGCCTCTGAAAACAGCTGTCAGGTTGGCTGCTTTTTATAAGTAAGTCACTCAATTCTATTGGGTGGTTTTATGCACCCTATTTGCATAGTAAACTAACCAGCCATCTGTAAGATTGAGGCCCAGCCAATCATTTTTGGCAGAATTATAAACCCAGGGCCAGAAATGCCAGAGCAAACCATTGCAGTACAGTTACATAAAGGAGCCTATTGCACTACTGCAACTGGTACATTTATTAATTGTGCTAACTGCACTAAAAAGAGGGAAAGTAGAGCAAATCCTGCCTTCATTGGTAACTGTGGTATGGATCAGCATGAAACCAATTCCCACTTTCCCATGTTTCCATTGTTGTTGCAAGGCACCTATGTGGCAGTTTCTCCTCCCTGGCCACGCGTAACCAAATCCCCTCCTCCTTGACTGGCCAGTGCAAGGTTTCTCTCATCCATGGCTGCCCAGGGCCAGGTCCTCCAATTCCTGGCTTCCTTAGGCCAGGTCTTCTGTGCCCTGGCCACCCTGAGCCAGGTCAAAATACACAATTTAGAAGAATGCACTCCTTCTTATCAACTTCCTGGCAGCCACTGTCTGATATAGCCACCCTGAGCTTTGTCAGAATTTCCAAGTTAGAATGATTCTGTCCTGTAACTACCAAAAGGGCACATACCAAACCTGCAGGCTCATTGCCCCCTTTGGATTCATTAATTCTTTAGAAAGCCTCAAAGAATTCTTGGAGAGTAGCTATACTTACAGTTCAAGCCAAACCAAACTGATTACCGTCGAGTTGATTCCAACTCTTAGCGACCCTATAGGACAGAGTAGAACTGCCCCATAGGAGTTTGCAGTGTGGTGAATTACTTACTATGGCCCTTCTAGCCACATTCTTGGTAACTCCCACCAAATGACTGGGTAGAACTATGCAAATGAGGTGCTTGTGGCCCACCAAGGGCATTGGATAGCTTGCTAATAATGTAAATGGGGTGGGACCATGCAAATAAGGTATATGGAACCTTAACGAGGGCATTGGTTAGTTTTGCCATCCCACTAGGCTTAAAATGAGCCATCCCAGAAGTGGACCCAGGGGACGTCACAACCACCAAGAAGAAGAGATGGGAGAGGAGTGCACCAGGATCCCTGTACTGAGAGTCTGCTAGACCCAGGAAACAGAGAGCAAGAGCTTTAACACCGGAGAGATGGTGAGAAGTGGCGGCAGCAGAGGCAGCAGAACCAGGAGATAGCACGGTGGGTGTGCCAACCCATGGAGCAAGACAGCTGAACGCCTTTAGGCAGGAGGCTTGCTGACAGAATAGGGTGCCTCCGGGCATGTGGTGGAGCTAGGTTCGCTAATCCACACCAAAAGAGGTGAGTGCCTTCAGGCAGGAGGCTTGCTGACAGAGTGGAGTGCCTCTGAGCACTTAACTGGCAGAGCTAAAGAGCTTTGTAACGTTTGCTTGAGCAGGGCAGAGACAAGGCTGAGGGGCCAAGGGCCAGGGAGAGGCCTGCCTGAGGAAATGCTGAGAAAAGGCTGCCCTGATAGAAGAACTGTATCCTAAGTGTTCTTGAACTTGAATTGTAACCTGTTACTTCCCTAATAAACCCCATAACTGTGAGTATGGTCTGTGAGTTCTGTGTGGCCATTGCAATGAATTATTGAACCCAGCAGAGGAGTAGAGAGTGCCGTCAGGGGTGAGGGTGGCTGGTATCAGAATTGGTAAAAATGATGGAGAGAGGAGGCTTGTCTGACCTCTGCCTCATAGGAATAAGCCTTGGGCTGTTGGTGTTGATTCTCCTTCCCCCTTGTGACGTTAGAGAATGTCAGATGCCTGTGCCACGCCATTTCTACAGGTTTCCAAGGCTGTAAGTCTTTATGGAAGCAGACTTCCAGATCTTCCAGGGGAGCGGCTGGTGGGTTTGAACCACAGACCTTTGAGTTAGCAGATGAGTGCTTAACCACTGCACCACCAGGTGGCTCCTCATATTTACAGTTAGCCATTTAGTATAACCAGAGAGGACAGAAACGAAGAGACATCTCAGGCGTGGTCTGGGAGAGATCCCAGATGACACTTCCGTTGTCTCAAAGAACATCTACTTTCTCCCATGCATGAATGTTCTCAGCAGTCCAGGCAGCCTGGAACTTCCTTTTACATGGTCTCTGCTGGCTTCATTTTATAGTCAGGATTGGGGCCTCATTGCATAGGCATCATCAGTTGAAAAAATGAATGTGCATCATTGATTGCATCAACCCCCCTAACCTCTTCGGGTTAGGTAACATATATCTGTGTAGCCCCCAGTCATTTCCACACATTCTAAAGTGTTGCCTGTTATAAAAAATAAGGGCACCTCGATTGTTGGAAAAATCCAAGGGCCGTCTTTCAAGGGAGGAGCCCTGGCGGCACAGTGGTTAAGCACTCAGCTTCTAGCCAAAATGTTGTGGTTTGAACCCACCAGCTGCTCTGTGAGAGAAAGATTATAGTCTTGGAAACCCTATGTGGCAGTTCTACGCTGTCGTATAGAGTTGCTATGATTCGGAATCAACTTGATGACAATGGTTTGATTTTTTTAAAAAATCTTTTGAGGGACAGAAGACAAAAGCGAAAATGAGTTCTTAGCCCCATACTAATTCTAATTTTTTTCCTTAGTTCATTGTAAATATTACCAACTGTATTCACTTCAGTCCCTCGGTGGACTTTTCGATTTCCAAAGCTCTAAATGTTAGAATGATCAAACCCTTGGTGTTCATCTGTACATGTTCTCTGAACATGATTTTATTCTGTTCTTTATCTTTAAGTCATGTTTAAATACTAAAGTTTTCCAAATTGTTACCTTCAGTCAAGATTTATTCATCTTTCAGGTTTCTTTGTTTCTGCTCTTGGATATGTAATAACGATCTTGAAGTTGATATGCTTCAGAATGTTCTCTTGAACATTCTATACATCGATGATATTTTTTTATCTCATTAAAAGACACTACCATACTACCCCATGGCTCAAGCAAAATACTTAGCAGTAACCCTTTATTCTTCACATTCTTTACCCTACTCTGGCAACACTGAATTCATCAGTGAGCCTTCTCTTCCTTCAAAATGTTATCTTCATTTCCTCCACCCCTTGCTGGCCCTTTCATGAAAACTACTTTTCACAATCTGCAGCTACTTTCTTTGTGGCTTTTCTTGCTGTTTTTCAGTAGTTTACCAAACAGAACGTAAGCTCTGTAAACATAAGAAATATGTATTTCCAATACCTTTACTATGTACGTGTGAAAATTGTTTTCTCCCAAATGTAACATTCTGCATTCTTCACATACCCGACTATGCCTGGTGAATAGTTGTTTTACAGTAACAATTCGTGGAGTGAATGAATTTATCCTTCACCAATTAGGATCAGGAGGCCCTCAAACTCCCGTGGTCTGTAGGTCACAGTGACTTGCTTGTATTTCACATTCTCAGCATGTTTTTCAAGGCCTTAAAAAGCAACCAAATCTGTATTCATTTATTATGTATTATCTAATTTTGTTTCTACACTAACTTATTTTACTGTTTAGGTTGTTTATATTGTAGTTTTATCAGTGTGGAATGAACATTAAGTGTGGTGTTTTATTTGCACTCAGAGGGTTGTTACTAAAGATCCACCTTCCATCAATGCATTTTTAAATGGCTTCATTCCAAAACAAAACAATGAAAGGTTCATTGTTCTTTTCTTTCCTAGAAATCCAGAAAGTTGATGATCATCTGCTTGGGCACTCACAAAATGAAAGCAGGGTGGACAGCATGGAACAGTGCTGTGAACATAATGCATTGGAAAATACTGTTCATTGGCACAAAACTCATTTTCCTTTAAGAGAAAATCATACTATGTTTGACTTACATAAAAAAGCTGTGAAATCAAATTTAACTTTACTGGCACTCAACCAGAGCAGAAGCGATGAAATAAAGAACTCTGCTGAGCTAAATGGAGATGAGAAAACCTTTCTCCATGATGACCAGGAGCAATTTTGTACTGCAGTGAAATTCCCTGAGAGTCAAAAATCCAGCAGCACAAAGTCCCAACTCATTCAGCATCAGAAAACTCCCAAAATAGAGAAAATGCATGTATGTAGTGAATGTGGGAAAGCCTTCATCAGGAAGTCTTTCCTAACCAATCATCAGATCATTCATACAGGAGAGAAACCCTATAGATGCAGTCTATGTGGGGAGACCTTCTTTAAAAAGTTCAAGCTCATTGAACATTATCACACAACTCATAAAGGACAAAAACCGTATAAATGCATGGATTGTGGGAAAGCCTATCTCCATAAATCACTGCTAAATAAACATCAGAAAACTCATATGGCAGAAAAACCCTATATATGCTGTGAATGTGGGAAAGGCTTCATCCGAGAGATGCATCTCACTATTCATCAGCGAACTCATTCTGGAGAGAAACCCTATGTATGTCATGAATGTGGAAAAAGCTTCATCCAGAAGAGAAATCTCACTATTCATCAGCTAACTCATACTGGAGAGAAACCCTATATATGCCGTGAATGTGGAAAAGGCTTCATCCAGAAGAGAAATCTCATTATTCATCAGCGAACTCATACTGGAGAGAAACCCTATATGTGCAGTGAGTGTGGAAAAGGCTTCATTGAGAAGTCATCTCTCATTATTCATCAGCGAACCCATACTGGAGAGAAACCCTATATATGCAGTGAGTGTGGAAAAGACTTCATCCAGAAGAGAAATCTCATTATTCATCAGCGAACTCATACTGGAGAGAAACCCTGTGTATGCAGTGAATGTGGAAAAGGCTTCAACCATAAGGGGAATCTCATTGTTCATCAACGAACTCATACTGGAGAGAAACCCTATATATGCAGTGAATGTGGAAAAGGCTTCAACCAGAAGGGAAATCTCCTTATTCATCAGCGAACTCATACTGGAGAGAAACCCTGTGTATGTGGTGAATGTGGTAAAGGCTTCATCCATAAGGGAAATCTCATTATTCATCAGCGAACTCATACTGGAGAGAAACCATATATATGCAATGAATGTGGAAAAGGCTTCAGCCATAAAGGAGATCTCACTGTTCATCAGCGAACTCATACTGGAGAAAAACCCTACATATGCACTAAATGTGGAAAAGGCTTCATCCAGAGGAGATATCTCATTATTCATCAGCGAAATCACACTGGAGAGAGACCCTATATATGCAGTGAATGTGGAAAAGGCTTCAACCAGAAGTCATGCCTCATAGCACATCAAATATTTCACACAGGAAAGATGCCCTTTTCATGTAGTGAATGTGGAAAGTCTTATTCCCAGAAGTCAAGTCTCATTAGACATCAGAAAATTCACACAGGAGAAAAACCCTTTCAATGCAGTGAATGTTGGAAAGCCTTTGAAACAAAGCAAGAGCTCATTGTGCATCAAAGATCTCATACAGGAGAGCCAACGTATGGCTGCAATGAATATGGAAAAGCTTTTCCCTATGCTTCTAACTTTTATTCACATAAAGGAAGTCACAAAAGAGAGAAGTGTATAGATTCAGTCAAGGTCGAAGACCCTTCCACAGCTCATCACAGTTCATCACATATCAGTGATCTCATGCAGGAGAAAAGCCCAGTTAATACAGTGACTATGAAAATGCCTTCTGTGGCAGCTCAGACATCAGTAAACATCAGTGGGCTCCTAACTAATAGGAACATAGTCCTTGTGGGACAGCCTGTTGCCAGATGTGAACCCTCAGGAGATAACAGAGAATTTGTACAGGAAAGAAACCTTATGGATACAGTGAATGTGGTAGTTCCTATGAATGCAGTGAATGTGGTAGTGCCTGTGAATGCAGTGAATGTGGTAGTACCTTCAGTGTCCAATTGTATCTTATTTTATGCCCCACAAAACCCGTAGGATAAACTCAGATACATTCAGCAGGGACGAGGATTGAGCAAAAATTTCTACCTCATTGTATAGCTACAGAGTGTATCCTGAGGGAAATCATATGAGTGCAGAGACTGGGAGAGCCTGATACACACATCCTATGTAAATATGAGCTTTGAAATTGAGACATAATCTGATGCTAACACAAACACATACACATCAGTTGTGCCAATTGAATGAAAATCTGAGCTAATCTCTGTGGAGAAAATAAATACCATGAATTTTTAAAACAGAAAAGATCATCGGTATCTGGAATGTTGCTATAAATGCAAAACCACATAGGAGTTGGTGGGAAAGGCACAATACTGAATTGATGGGATATGGGGCACATATATATCAGTTCAGTTTCTTCAGATCAGTATGAAAGATTTTAACCGAAAACCAGATTGTCTACCATACATAATAGAAGTTTATATTATGTAGAGGAACCTATGAAACTATTGTCTTACACTGAGTTTACTCATTAATGTAACAAATATTTGTCACATACTGCCTTTGTATCTGGCCCTGTTTCCAGGAGCTGAGGATAAGTGGTGAAGAAAAAGCCCATGCCCTGTTGGAGAGAGCATTGAGTTGAATCATATTCAAGTGGAATGTTGATACTCCCACTAATCTAGTCAAAAGATGCAATATCTGTATTAGATGAATATGGAATTATTGTTACAAGGGGTTTAGTTAGAAGTTTTAGGAATTAGAAAATGCTAAAAAAAAAACTCTTAAAACAATTTCTTGTCAAAATCTGGTTGCCATAGAGATAATTCCAGCTTACAGTGATCCCATGTATGTGACAGTATAATTGTGCCCCCTAAGGTTTTCCGTGGCTGATTTTTCACAAGTAATTGCCAGGCCTTCTGAGATGCCTCTGGGTGGATTCGAACCTCTGATCTTTTGGGTTAGTAGGTGAGTGTGTTAACCATTTGCACTATCAAAGGACTTTTAATGATACTTAAATAGCCTAGGAAACAGTTATTTTTTAATGCCCACATCATATCTCAACAGGTAGATTATAAATTCCTTGGTAGTTTCTGTGACTATCCCAAAGTTTTAAATTCGTTGACAGTTTTTCTGAGTATTTATGCCGAAGTAGATTATAAATAACTTGATAGTTATAACTCATGACTATTTAAATTTTAAAAAATGAAGAACAACTAAAATTAAAAATCAGTTATTTAATTGCACTAGCCACATTTCATGTGTTCAGTAGCCATGTGTGACTACTGCCTACCCAATTGGACAGCAAAAACAATGAGCAAGACTTTCTAGCTCTTTATGTGGCTGGAGTGTGTATACTGAGGGAAATCTATTTTATTTCCATTATCCCAGAAAATTAGAGAGTACTGGTTTACATGATTTTATGTTCCCAGTACACAGAAATACATTTAATTATATATTTATTTGGAAAGGCAATAAATGAGCTAATAAACTAATCAAATGGTATTTTGTCATTGAAGTGAACGAGTCATTGGAGGGCAGTTTACAGAACAGAATTTTCCCCCTGAAACTTTTCATGTGGAATTAGAGAAACTCAATAACTGAATATAAAGGAGACAGAGTAGAAAAGGAGAAGGATCCCCAAAATAAGTAAAAAAAAAAAAAGAAGGCAAGAACCATACTGTCTAAGAATAGAGGGGAGGACAGGAGATGAGAGGAGGTGAAGTCCTTTTGGGTTGTCTTAGAGGTGAACCCTTATATCACCTTTGAGGGTTGTCACCATTTCAAAGATCCGCTTCCTCTGTGACCTGCTGATATGAGACAAATGATTTCTTCTACATCATTACTTCTCACTTTGCTGGGAATGGAGCTCTTGGCCTCTCTATCCATTAAGTTCCACTCCTTAATATATATATTCCATATATACTAAGTTACAGTGAGTCCTCATAGGAAAAGAGATGGAAATTTGCATGCAGAGGCTGTCTCAGAATTCATTGTGAAATCCTGGTTCAGTGGGTAATTGACTCCTTCAGAAATACTTTAAAGCAATATGACCATCCCAGGCACTGTTTCACAAACTCGGGATATAGCGGTGAACAAAACAGCCTTTATGAACCTTCACAGTCTAGAAAGGGAGACCTACATTAAAATGGATAGTAAAACATCAGGAAGCATGAGTGGTATAAAGAAAAATAAAGGCTAATAAGTGTAGAGATAGTAATGGAGGAGCTATTTTAAAAAGAATTTTCAGGAAAGGGTTTTCTGGGCAGATGTAATATGAGCCAAGACTTAAGTGTACTGAGAAGAGCCAACCATCATCTTACTTGAAAGCAGAGAATACTACAGAACTTAGTTCTAAGTGTTGTCTATGAGTCTCCAGCCTCAGGAGTCTCTCTGAAGCTTGCAAAGAAATGTCCATTGCTGAGTCACATCGCAGACCTCCTAAAGTAGACCTTCTGGGCCCGGGGCCCAGGACTGCAATATAACCAGAGTTTTCTGGTAAACACTTTATTTTGAAACATCTCTGCCCTACAGCTTGGATTAGTGCTCCCCTCACCACCCCACCCCACAGCAGGATGAATTCAGGACACTTTCTAGCAAAGAATCAGAAATGGGTGCTCCACCAACCATGTCCTCCCCTCCACGCGTCCTGTGAATCTGCGTGTGTGGAAATCTCAAAATCCTCACTGTTCTGACATCAACTATGAGGAAAATCATCAAATCAAATCCAAATCTCATTTTTCACTGTTCAGTTCTGACATCAGCCTCCCATGCAGCACTTCTTTCTCTGATCCTACTACTCAGAGCTAGGTCAGATCTCACAAATTAAAAGGCCACCATCTTTCAGCCTAAGATTTCAGATGCCAGCTGCAGGCTTTGGAGTTCCCAGGGCTCCCATTGCTTCTGACTTGCTTGGTTTTCCCAAGACCCCTTCAAGATGCTAGTCGCGAGCTTGGAATGCCCCTGGGCTCCCTCACTTTCAACTTGCTACAAATTTGGGTGTGTTCCTGCTACCCCTCAAGATACCAGCCACAGCTTAGGGGTCCCCAGCCACCTCACTTCTAACCTGTTGGCCTCCACTATTCCCTAGGGTTCCATAATTCATGGAACAATACCCAGAACTCATGGAAAGTACCATACCTGGGATTACAGCCTTATTATACCAAAAGAAGATACAAGTGATGCACAGTGCCTGGTCTGGGAGGGTTCCCAACGTGAATGGTCCATGTCCCAAAGGACATGCTGCCCTCCCATGTGCATGGACATCTTTCACCATTGAACTTCCATGTACAGAACTTTTATTAACTTTATTACATAGTCATGATTGGGGCCTCAATGCATAGACATGGTTGATTGAATCATTACTCCTTCTCACTCCCTAAGATCAACTGATGTCAGGCTATGAAGTGGTCTTTCTGGCTCGGACAGCCCCACTCATTACCAAAAGCACCTCAATTACTCAGCATATTACAAGATTTTAGTCGTATTTTTCAGGAATTGAGGGCAAAGACCAAATTAAGTAAGGTTAATTGTAAACCCCATACTCCACATCTTGCCATGGTAAATGCAGTACAGTGAGTTTCTCTTATTATGGCCCTTCTGGCCCTTGTTTGTAAATGAATAATTTCTTTTATAAGGATCAGCACAAAGCTGGTTCCTATGAGGAGGATGTTAAAGATGTCCAAAATGTTCAACTTTTCCAAATTTCTGTACCACTCTATCATCCCTAACATCAACTACTCCCTCTCCCCTTAGTATTCTCCCTCCCATCTTTGGGTTCCCTAATTTGCTGCACCGTCTCACAGAACTCACAAACTGTATAAAGGAAACGGCTCAGGCAGATGTGGAGGCTGTTAAGTCCCAAACCCGTGGGTTAGGCGTAGGCTTTTTCCAACCCATATGGCTGCAGGGGGCTGTGGAACCCAAACTGGCACTTCACACCACAGGCTGCTGGCTCACAAGGCTGCAGAAGCTGGCTAATCAGGTCAGATAATAGGCCAGCAGCCCACAGGGCTGTGGAGGCCAGCAAATCCCGGAATCGGCAGGTCAGAGAGCAGGCCTCTGGCTCCAGTCCCAAGAACCGGAGGTCAGTTGATCACAAACCAGACTTGGGATCCAGATGCAGAGAGAAAGCCCTGCCAGGTCATCCCCACATACATCTTAGATACAGGCCACACCCCAGGGAAGGGCATAACCTGAGTAAGGGTGGGACTTAAGTCTCGCCCTCCTTCAAGGCTGCGACCCAAAACACACCCTACACCAATCCTGCCTCATCAACATGTAGAGGTCAGGACCTGAAACACATAAAATGGAGGACAACCATACAATATTGGCAGTCATGGCCTAGCCAAGTTGACAACCCCAACTATCACAGGTTCCATATACCTTATTTGCATAGTCACAATTATTGTGTGTGTCACAAAGACCATGGCTAGAAGGCCATATTAAGTAATTCATTACACCGCAGTTTGTAATTATGCCAAAATGATTGGTTGGGCCGCCGTCGGCCCTGTGATTGATCTATTTTTTGCATCTTGCAGGGACTGGCCAATTTGCTATTCAAATAACAGTAGTGGTTTGAAAATCCACCCAATAGAATTGAGTGGGTTGCACTTCACCAAGGGATTATTTGGTTCTTGATCCTTCTGGGAGGGCCATGCCTTGAAATTGACAAGGAGTTTGCTTATACAAGCAGCCAACCACATAGGTTTTTAGGAGAGAGAGAGAGGAGAGAACTTCCTCAAAGAGCTGTGATATGAGTCAAGCACTGTAACACTGAAGATGACAAGAGGCCCAGAAGGTGG